CAGTCACTCACTGCTTTCACCTTATCAGGATCAGTTTGTGCACCATTCTCACTAACAATGTGGCCTAATTAAAGCACCTCCTTCTGGAAGAAATGATATTTCTTCGGATGGAGTTTGAGGTTTGCTGCTTTCAAACGCTTGAATACTTCCTCCAGCCGGGATATTTCCTCGTCAAAAGTTGTTGCAAATACAATGACATCGTCCAGGTACACTAGAGCTATCCTCCATTGTAGGCCTTCCAATACTCGTTCCATCAGCCTCTCAAATGTTGCTGGAGCATTACAGAGCCCGAATGGCATCACTCAGTATTGCCAGAGACCTTGGCCATAACTAAATGCAGTCTTGCGTTTATCTGCTTCAGCCATTTTCACTTGATGGAAACCCGACTTTAAGTCCTGAGTTGAAAACCACCTGCCCCACTTAGGGCATCAAGAGTATCATCAATTCTTGACAGTGGGTATGAGTCTTTTTCGGTTATATAGTTAAGAGCCCTGAAGTCCACACAGCAACGTTGGGTCCCATCCTTCTTCTGGACTAACACGACAGGAGCTGACCAGGGTCTATTAGATTTCTCGACTATCCCTTCCTTAATTAGTCCATCCATGACCTTCTCCACCTCTTGTCTCTTTGCTGTATTCCGCTGTCATAACAAAATGTTTTTATCAGTTTGTAGTTTATACATTTCATTTTATACTTTAAGTACATAGACTCTTAACAACAATATTAGGTTATATTTGTATTGCTAAGCAACATGATATAAAAGTCATTGTCGGAACACATTGTTTCCCAAATGCATTGGCTTTTCCATATATTAGTAGTTGTTATGTAACGAACCATTCGTTTTCTATGTGGATTTTCGCTAGATTGACTCTTTAAAAAACCGCGCACGCGCATGTCTGTCTGTGATTTATATCTATAATTTGTAACATAAGGAACATTTCTTTAATTATTATTACCATAGAGCGTGTCTGTATGTGATTTCTTGGGGAAAATAACCAATATTTTCTAACCTGCAACAGTAAAAAATTTTAATAGATTCTGATAAAATGTGATAGAAAATTGTGATATCGTATATAAATGTGAAATATTTAACGCAATGATAAAGTTCTGTAATAATAAATAATTTCCTGTAATTTCTTTACTGCTCTTTTATGCTTCTGAAAAATAAAAATGTTTAAAATATTTTTTAATGTTCTTCTATGCTACAATAGGTTTATAATACACATACTGACATAGTTATTTAGAATATATAAACCTAATGACCCCGGCGAAGCCGGGTACTTTCGCTTGTATATAATAACAACGTGTTAATAACAGTAGTATTATTTAATAACGTGAATACGTAACTCATGGGGAAAGGAAAAGATATAGATGTTTTCCTCAGAATGAACTTTCTTTATCAGGTATGTAAAAATCTAAGTTCACAAAATCTACACCCATATATCATTGATGTGGACTACCTTAATAATTTAAAGTCATGCGTTTAATCCTATCAATATCAATGATTATGGTGTTTTATTTAAGCCTTACAAGTTTTTTTACTTTTAGGCAGTGTGTTGTTACCAATGGAACTTAACTATGGAAGAATGAATAAGATTTTTGCTTGTATCTGCAAGAATATTGAATATCATTTTATATAACTTATTAAAATTAATTTATTGTACGATTTGTGGTAAGGCCTCATTTAGACTTTTACTTTTAGAACATTGTGTTCAGTCTTGAACAGTTGAACTTGAAAATACCAAGTTGTTGACGTTTTAAATGGTTCAAAGGAGGGCTATTACCGTATTAGCATTAGTAATAGGATAACTTCTGGCATGGAGGACAGGTTAATGTTCCGCAAAGTCAAACTCAAAGTTATTTTCTCTTGAGAAAAGAAAGGTTATAAGGGATCTGATTGAAATGTTCAAAATTTAAGGTAATAGATAAGATTAATCTACCATCTTTTTTTCACATTTAGTAGTAAAAGAAGTAGGACTAGGAGACTATGGTGGGGTAAGCAACTGTTTTTAACAGGTTGGTCAGCCTTTGGAATAGATTGCCTTCAGTCAAGGTATTGGTAGATGCAATAGGATTATTAAAGTTCAAGAGATGGTTTAATGAGCATCTGAGAACTCAGGGCTGTATTTAGGTATATAGTTGTTTGATAAAAATGGCCATTGATCCCTCTGTTGATTCTCAAATGTTATAACAGGTAATGTCCTTGAAAAACATAACAGTTTAGTAAGGCAAGATATTCTTTTGATTAACTAATTTTGGTATTCATTTATATCTTTTTATCACATTTTAGAAATTTTTATAATATAGAAGTAAAACTAGCTGTCATATACTTTCTTCAGCATCTGTTATCACTACTCTCTGTGGACATACTATAAATGAAATAGAATAGTTTGTATATTTGACCTCCTTTAAAACCTTGGAACGTTGCAAATATTGTTTTTCTAAAAACAGAAGGGAACATTTAAAAGGCTTAACCACCTCATAATTTTCAACAATATCCTTACCAGAAATATTTCTTTCCTCACTCTTTGATTCCATATAGTACTAGTCAGCGTGCCCAAATTAAGTCTTCTGTAATTATTGTATCAACATTTTTTCTTTGTAGCAATCGTGATCTCATAACATAATTTTTCATTTATCTCGTCTGTCTCCTCAGGTGGCTTTAGCTGTAGCTACTGCCAGTTAGAAACTTTATACTCTCGAAAGTTGAAACTCCTTAGTGTAACCAATATAACTTACATCTTGATTGTCTGCGTATTAAATACTAAGGGGCTGAAGCTTATCATATATATAAAAAGCCTTCCCATTCTCTCTTACCCCCATGTGCATGGGTGCGAGTCAAAGTGTGCATGCCACATCCTTTTACAGAGTACCGTTCAACACGGTATTACTTGATGTCAGAGTTGTCAACTTCATTTTACTCTACATTGTTGATTTATCGACAATTTATGGTAGAAAAGAATAAATACCAGATACACTATAAACGGATACTGAAAACACTAGATGTGCATTTTGGAAGTTCTAGTGGTTATGCAAGTGCAATATGCAAATTGTATGATGGACAAATGTATTTTTATTCTTCACATGAACATCATCTTATACTGATGTCACCAGTTCAGAGTCATATCTTGAATAGAAATTTTTTAACACCTCTTATATTTTGCATAAAACAGACTTGTACATTTCGGTAGAAGCTTGCCACATTTTATATAGATACATGTAATAAATTTAAGATTATATTTAACATTCTTCAGTGGACTGACCTTGTGCACATTCTGTTAAAGTATCACTGTTGGATCACTTACAACTTGGAATTTTAAAATAATTTCAATTCTCAATACTCAATTCTCCAAGTCTAACCAAGTGTTAGTAATTCCATTATATGATGGGCTGCCATTTCAACTACAGCTCTGTATTCATCTATTTTTTGTCCAAATACTTATAATATTAGGAAAATAGCATGTAAGCTTATTTTTGAACCTGTTATGTTTATCTTTAAATGACTTATGTTTAAAGCTATTATTTAATTTATCATCTGATTTTCTAACTTCCAAAACTTCTTTTTGCCCTACCTATCATATAAGTTCTTTATTTCTGTTTCCCCAAGCTTCCTTACCACTATGTAAGTTTAGTTTAAATTATCTTTAATGAACATAGTTAGAGCTTCCTCAAACAACCTACCTCATGACCTGCCAAAGTGAATTCCCATCTGTAGCATATAATTCACCTTTGCCCTGAGAATTAGCCCACCTGTTGCTTGAAGCATATCCCTGGATTGAAACATTGTTGTGAGCAATTTTGTAAAAACATTTTTTTATACTCTATTGTTTATTACAAAAGTGGTTGTTTCATATAATAAGTTATAGGAATATCAACAGAATGTAGGTGAGGTATTCATAAAACATGTAGTGGTTGTGATGATTTCAGTCTGCAGGTTACACTATCTGTGATGTGGGTCACTGATATCTTTTAGTGTGAATAAGATGCTTCTAGTGTATAACATATTCACAATGCATACAAAGTCACTTGTTTTTCAAGAAAACCTTTGTATTGATGTCTTGGTGCATATGACAACATCTATAATTAACAATTTTTGTGTTAATATACACTGATAATCACTATACTTGACTGTTGAAGCAGCACTAGAACTTGCAAAAGTCCCCAAAACACTGATAATAATATATGAAATGGCTGTTACACATAATGATGGTGTTTACAGTGTCAAACAAGATATGTGTCTGCCTAGTACACATAGAGACCATCTTACTATATAAAATGGTAAAATCACATGATAAGACACACCCAAACAACAACAAAAAAGAGGTGCTTGTTACCTAAATATACATAACAATGTCAATGCTTATACATAACAGAGAAGACAGTTATTAACCCGATGACTACCAGCTACTAACTTTCTTAGTAGGCAATGCAAGTGTGAGGGCAAAAT